CTATTGGGGTTTAGGGTTTCGGGTTTAGGGTTTCGGCTTTAGGGTTTAGGGATTAGGGTTTAGGCGTCAGGGGTTAGGGTTCAGGGGGGGGGGGGGGGGGGGGGGGGGGGGGGGGGCATCTGTAGGACGAACCCCTCACACCCCCAGTCGGTCCCAACCAAACGTACGAGAACCCCAGCCCTAAACTCTAAACCCCAACCCCAAACCCTAAACCCCAAACCCCAAACCCTAAACCCTAAACCCCTAAACCCTAAAGCTCCCCCAGCATCTTCCAAGGCCCCAAGTTGGGGTGCCAAGGGTGGCGCCGCAGTGCTGAACTCTGCCATGTGCCCAGAGGGGGGGGGGGGGATGTGGGGCCACGAGGGTTTTGTTTGGGGCTTTGGGTGGTTTTCTCGGTTTTTTTTTCGGGTTTTTGTTCATGGGTTTTTTCTGTTTTTTTTCATCGGTGTTTTAGGTTAGGATGGTTTAGGGTAGGGGGGGTTCAGGGGCTCGCCGATGTTTGGTAGGGTGTTTGGGGGTTTGGGAGGAGGAACAGAGGAGTCAGGAGTGCAGAGGGCAATGGTGAGCCCAGCTTTGAAGAAGTTCCTTAGGCTCTTTCTTTCTGTTTGCTTGCAGGGAATGAGGGAATTAGAGCCCTACATATATGCCCTTTAAGGGATTATGTAGGGTACCTCATTCCCCCATTCCCTGCGAACCAACAGTAAGCTTTGCGCCAGCTCAGGCTGCTCTTTCCAAATCGGCCGCCAAAGCTGCTGCCAAGGAAGCAAAGCAGATTGCCGCAGCCAAAGAGGCCAGGAGCCAGCATTCGAGAGCGCTGCGGGTTTAGCGTTTAGGGTTGAGGGTTTAGGGATGCTGCAGAGACCCCACTTCTGCCTCTGAGGCTGCCGAGGCAATCGCAGAGGCCGGGGCCAAAGGAGGTTTGGAGCACGCGAAGCACGCAATACGCGGAGAGAATTGGAAGGCCAGAGCTGCGAAGTCTTCGGCCAGCAAAGTCGAGGCCTGCATCTGAGTGCGAGTTTTCCGATGGATCACTGAGTTCTCAGCAAAGAGGATGCCAGCATGTTTTGAAGTTGTCGAACCCAAAACGTGGCACCTGACCTGGCTGTAGTCGAAGAGAAGTCATGTGGCAACATAAGAACAGGACTTCGCGGCATCTTGCCAGGAAAAAAGACCAGAGGCGCCAGCTGCTCCAGTCATGCTCCGAGTGCCAGTTTGGATCGGTGGAACGGTGAGACTGCGTGTACCTATCCGGAGTGTGCCAGTCGAATTGCTGCACTGAGGCCAGCGGAGGTGAGCAGTTTCCCGAGGCGGTCTTTGGTGCTTAGCCACCCTAAACACTTGGCCCTGAACCCGGAGTTTCGCCCTTCTGATGAAACCTCAAGTTTCGCGTCCCTTCTGATTTCGTTCAAAACCAGTCCTGGATCCGCCCTTCCCTGCGCCAGCTTCCGAAAAGCTCGGCGCCCTCGCGACCGAAGGAGTGCGGACAGGGAGCTTGCCATGGCTGTGGCTGCGGTTTGGGGTACAGGGGTACAGGGGTACAGGGGTACAGGGGTTTACGGGTTTACGGGTTTAGGGGTTTAGGGGTTTAGGGGTTTAGGGGTTTAGGGGTTTAGGGGTTTAGGGGTTTAGGGGTTTAGGGGTTTAGGGGTTTAGGGGTTAGGGGTTAGGGGTTCGGGTTTAATTCGTCAATGCGCCCATACAACCCTTTGAGGGATTTATTCCCACCTAAGCTCTGCGGAAAGGACCGGTGAGAAGCCTTTTCGCAGTTTGCCACTGCAGGGACCTACCTCCTTTCTGGGGTAGCCTAACTTTGAGGCTTCGAATAACAATGTGAGCCCCAAACCCCCATCCTTTCGGTTTGGGCTTGGGGCCGCCCAAAAACCCTAAACCCCAAACCCAAAATCCTAAGCCCTACATCCCAAGGGAGTTAGGCATAGGAGCATCCTTTCTCTTCCCAGGAGGTGGCCGCCAAGAAGGCCGCCAGCAAGGCAGAGGGGGCTCCCCTGAGCCCAAGAATCAACAGTCCAGGTGCTCAAAACGTCTAAGAACCTTATCGACCCTTAGCTGAGCCCGAAACCTTGGAGACTTAAACCTTAAACTGCAAGCTATAAAAAAACCCAAAGCCCCCACCACAGGCTGCCTCGAAACCAGCACCAAAGCCGGTCGCGCCGGCCTCGGGCGTTGCGAAATCAGAGCCTCCATCGAAGCCATTGAAGAAATGATAGAGTTTATACCCTAAACCCTAAATCCTAAATCCTAAGCCCTAAACCCTAAACCCTAAACCCTCACGCTTTCTGCCCAGCCCAGTATCATCGTGAGCGGCTGCGAGGCGAGCGGCTCTAAAGATGACCGGGACGAGGTGTGGGGGGGGGGGTTCGATTCCAGCATAGGGCCCCCCCCCTTTTTTTGGCATCCCTTAAAAAAAAGGGGCACCTACATTGTTACAAGGAGATTGTACAACAACCCAACAACCCCACCTGCCGTCTTGAGTCCGATGTCGGAGTTTGGCAACGATTCAACACGTTGCAACGCGAGGAGCTGGTTCCTCTTCACGCAGACAAGGACGGTCCAGGGCGATGGGCGGAGGAAAGCCATGAGATCGTGAGATGCTTGCGCAGGAACTGGTCCTTCTCACGAAGAGCACGGGGCTCAGAATGAGTTTGCAGTTGTGCATCGTCGGGAGATTGCCACGGAAGGGAGGGTTTTTTTTCAGGCACCTGAAACCATGAACCCTTCCCCTAAACCCTCAACCCAATTTGAAGGTGACGATCCCGATGAAGCTCCCAAGGAGGCCTGGTTCCCTTCCCCACTACTCCCTTCGGCTCCTTTAGCTTCCCTAAGGTTCCCCAGGCACCTACCCCCTTGAACCCCCCTCCCTTAAGAACCCTATACTTGACTGGCCAGGCCGGTCAGAAGAAGAAGAAGGGCCAGCAGAGCAAGAAGAATGTGGTGCCTGCATCCGAGTGGTTCAGCGGCTGATGGGCTGAAATCGGCGAAAAGCTTTGTGGTACTTTACCGTAACTTTAGATCCTGACCCTTTTTGGGTTTATTGGGTTTCTTAACAAGGCAGCTAAAAGTTTGATTTTTAGCTACCCTCCTGAGTGAAGCCAAGAAAGCTGCAAGTCGTTTGTCCGGCTATAAGATACGATTCATGCAGCGCACAAAGCTGCTATGTCAGTCAGCCCGGGTCGCTCGATCATCCTGAAGTCTGGCGAGGGTTTAGGGTTTAGGGTTTAGGGTGTAGGGTTTAGGGTTAGGGTTTAGGGTTTAGGGTTTAGGGTTTAGGGTTTAGGGTTTAGGGTTTAGGGTTTAGGGTTTAGGGTTTAGGGTTTAGGGTTTAGGGTTTAGGGTTTAGGGTTTAGGGTTTAGGGTTTAGGGTTTAGGGTTTAGGGTTTAGGGGCGATCCGGCAGCCGGAGAAATCATGTACAGTTTCTTTGCCAAGCAGAAAAGAAAGAATGGCTGCGCATGCTCCAGGTCGACTGCGCCCAGAAACTCTCGCAGCAGCCTGTTTGTCGTTTTGACTGTTTTGTAGGGCTTATAGAGTTGACTTGCGACATTTACGATTCAAAGATCGCTTGACTGAGCCCTTGGCGTTTGTGTCCTCCTGCTTGCTGTGTGACTTGCTGTTGTTGTTTCGTTGCGCTTTGAAGTCTGACCCTTGTAGCTTTGCTCTCGGTGTTTGGCGCACTCGTAGACTACAGCAGTATAGTATTTTTAACAGCACTCACAACATTGCCAGGCGACAGTTAAACTGCATGTTTAAACATTTGCTAAAAGATGCTGCCCCTTGTTGTTGAATTGAGGGTGGTTTGGTGAATATCGTTGGGCAAAAAGCGTGCACGCTTACTCGGCCTCGATCGTTGGTTCAGGAGCGAGGGTTACCAAAACTCGAGGCAAGTCCTAGTGAAAGCCACATATTTCCTGGGAAGTTGCACAAATTATAGTTTCAGGCAGCATCAGCACTAATGCAACCAGGTCTCGTGTTATAACTGTCAGGCCAGAGCCAAACGTCTCATGCTTCTGAACGCCAAATCCAGCTTGGCGTGCACAACTGCACAAAGCAGTGCCTCGTCAGAGTCATGCATCCTGAGAGATCCCAAAACTACCGCAACCTCCACAAGGCAGAGGTCACGAGATTCATCATCTGGACGTGGGCCATACGAGTGCCCACACACGCACAGAGCACATCGCCAGAACTGCCGTGCAGACTTGCCATGTCGTCACCCATGGCCATCAAGACTCCTCGCAGCTCAGAGCACAGCTTCTTTTCTTGCGGGTGTGCTGCTGCGTATCACGTGTATATGTATATAATACTGTGTACATATATATCTATATATATATATATCTACATATAATATATAATATTATATATACATATACAGAAATGCAGTACCATACATACAAGAGACATTGTTGGCGCAGGCTCGGGTGCCCCAGGTTCCCTAGACGAGAATCATCCTGAAAGCGTCATGATGTCGTGTAGCAATACAGGCGCCTGAAACCATGCTGCCGATGTCATCCCGTTAAAATCCCTATGGTATACAGGATGATAATCATCAACCATGTCCCGCTTCCCCCCCCCCCCCACCCCCAAGTCCGAGCAGTTTTTCGAGCAAGACGTCGTGGGTATCAAGTCAGACGATTCCAAAGCATTTTTGCTCAAGATGGGAGTCTAACAGGCATTCGCAGGAAGATGAGAACCCGGGGCCACGGCTTCCAGACATACGGATTTAGGGTGCAGGGCCTGACCATGCAGACTGCCAGCGCTATCGTTTGCAAGTGGCGTTCTAGAACCTGTACTTTGGAACCCATGAGCAAACGCAATGCCTGAAGTCCGCGATGTGCTGAAGTCCAGTCACCAGTCAAGTCATGCGCGGTTGCTTCTAAATCAGAGTCCCTTTTGGGTACCCTAAATAGAAGGCCCTGCATACTTATTGCACCGAAAAAGGGCAGCCTACATTAGGGAGCTTACCATGCGGTAGCTTGCCGTCGGCACTCCATGGAATCTGCCACAGATGCGCTGGTGTCTCCACTCGGTGCTCGAAATCGCGTGGGATTCAGGCGGGCCTTGCTTCTACTAACAGGACAGAAAGCCATGATCACGGACACCGACAAAATTTACAGTACAATGCTCGTGAGTAGTACCGCGACATGTATATATATATATATATATGCACACAAAAATGTGGGATGATGTACTTTTGTATATGTCCACTGATGGTGGTAGAAGCAAGCCTCTCGTCCGGAAGTTGTTCTCCAACCAGATCCAAATTGCGCTTCGCTTGGGGGTTTACGAAAATAGGGGGCCCCCGAAAGAACCGACCCCAAAATAGGAATCCTATGAGATTCCCGAAACCCTAAACCCTGAACCCTAAACCCTAAACTCCTGAAAATAGGGAGCCCAAAAAGGTACCCCTTTCATTTCGGAAACCTTCACTTGCCACTCCGAGGTCCAGACGTGGCCAGCTCCCTCGCTGGACAAAGCTGTGTGCCGCAGCGCTTACGGCGATCCTCCTCATCCTGTTGGGGAAGACCTGCTTTCAAGAGGCTGGACAGCATGGGGGTTGAGATATGGCCGCTTTCGAAAATAGGGGACCAGCAATAGAGATCCCCCAAATAGTAGGATCCCCTTCCAAGAAGGACCCCAATAAGGTACCCCAAGTTTTCGGAAACCCCATATGGTGAAGCCGAAGGACTCTTGTGCAAACAAACGCTCCCTGAAGGAGCCAGACATCAATCCCGTTCACAGCAGCTCCTCGGCTGTGTATTTTCCAGTCTCAAGGAGTCGTAGGGTACTCCGCCAACTCATTTTTTTTTTTTTTTTTGTGTGTGTGTGTGTGTGCCGCCTTGTTTTGGGGGGCGTCGGCACGTTGCAAGCCCGGTGATCGCTTTCAGGAACGGATGTCTCGGGCACGCTGCTGTGGACTGGCGAAGACTGCGACTCTTCCAGCCTGCAGCTTCGCGAGGCCGTCCACCGAAACCTGGGGGGCTTTGGCCCCGATGACGGGGAGGAGAGTATGGTCTACAGCCTTGTAGGCGGGCGGGGGGGGGGGGTCGTTTGGGGTTAAGGGTTAGTTAAGTGGAAAGATGTCCAACCCATCGGGTCCGTCTGAGCGGATGCATTGGACATGCGAAACATAGGTTTGTGAAGGGTGGAAATGTACCCGACTTATCTCCAAATTTTCCCTCGTATCCTTGTGCGATTGCCTTTTGCTTCACTGGGCCACGGCTTTAAGGGCCACCTAGGCGAGAACGGCACGGAGATCGAGATGGTGCTCATTGCGTTGAACGAGGACTACAGCCCCTGGCATGCCCGGAAGATGGGGAGCAGGGGCGGAATCGCCATGGTGTCCACCATGGCATCCAGCAGGCTTCTGGCGAATGTGAGTTTTCGATCGTCAAGCACCCGGGAGACTCTGGAGCTGCCTCAACTTGCGCTTTCGTTCTACGACATGAACATGAAGCACAAAGTCGACAGCAAAAAGGTCGTGAGGGTGTTTGACGTCAGGGGCAACTGGACCGATGCCATGCGATCAAACGATTCCTTAGTTTCTGTTCGGCAGAATATGAGTGAGGGCAGTGTCACCTTCACAGCCTCGAAGCGTGAAGAAGGCCTCGACCCTGTCACGGATCCGAGGGACCTGAGCCTCGCACATTTCAAGCGAAGCGTCTCTGTCCGTTTCTCCAAGGTTCGGAGTTTCAAGCTTGAGATGCAGACTGGGCTAAGAGACAATCACCAGGTCTTCCAGTTCGCACCCGAAGCACTGCTGTGCGCAGCACCTGCCGAGGGACGCCCCACAACGACATTGATCCCAAACCACTGGCTGCAGGAGCCCCTAGAAAGGAAGCGCGGGCAGGTTGCCCTGATTGCAAGCGAGTCTGCATTCCAGCGCTGGTTCGTCGCCGAAGGTGATATCGTGAACGAGGGCGATCCTATCTACAGCGTCCGAAAGTCCTCCGGCGAGATCCAAGAAGTTCCATCACCCACCTACGGCCAAGTGGTGCAGATGCTCTCGTCTCTGCTGCCCGGGGATGCTTTGGAGCCAGGCCTTAAGTTAATAGTCATTCAGAAAAAGGGCCGAGTTCTTTGGGTCGTCCTTGCTTGGGTCGCTGGCTTTGGCTGTGCTGCGGTGCTCGTGGCAGTCAAGTGCTGCTCCCATTATCCAGAGAAGCCTCCACCGATGGTCTTGGACGAGGACGATGTTGTCGTGCTCGAGTTCAGAACGCCCACCGGATGGATGCAGTCGGGAGTCTGGAAACATCAGCCACTGGGGCTGGGCTTTCACAAGTCGCTGCCGGCCATTGTCGCCGTCGTTGGCGACGAAGCGAAGCATACTGGTGTGTTGGAGGGGGATGAGCTTGTGAAGATCGGCACGGTTCGGCCCTTGGTCGATGTATCATGCCGAACCGTCCCCCAGTAGCTACCAGGAGCAGCTACCCACCATGGCCCTGAGGCGTCAGCGTTTTCAGACTTACAGTGGGTACTGTAGATTCTTACGTACCATTTTGCGGGGTTCTGTTGCTGTATGAACAACACCTGATGACGGGGGAGGGAGTCAGATACTCTGCAAGAAAGCTAGCTGCACATAGCCAAGCACAACAGATTCACAAAGTCACTTCTGTAGGCAAGCGGAGCCTGATTAAAGCTGCTGGAGCTCTCCATACATCAAGTCACAAGCAAAAGAAAGCATAAGAGCCAGTGCAGAAGCAACGCAACGATTGAGCGGCCGCACCGTGAAGAACACCCAGGGTCCCAGGGTAGAGAAGCAGTAGTTCGTGTTTTTTCAGCAGCAGGTTCGATCGTTCTGACATGGTTTTGAGTATTTCCCTTTTGTTCACTTGTTTCTCTTCTGTGGGGGGGGGGGGTTGAATGAGAAGCCATTCAAGGGGCGATGCCGACATCCTGCAATGTGCAACATTCAGGACTGAAGCACATCAGAATTGTCCCTTACTGCTGGATATTCTTAGCAAACGGGACTGTGGCGGGAGGAAAAACCCAGGCCCCGGACCGAGGTAGGAGCGTGACTAGAAATCTAGAATCCTTCAGGGAGGGGGGGGGGGGGGGGGGGGGGGGGGGGGGGTAGGTAACCCAAGGGTCCCGAATACTCCTATAATCCTCCCTAAGATTCCCTAAGGTTGACTAGGTACCTGCCCCCACGAACACCAATCCCTGAAGACCCTGCAATCGAACATCGGACCAAAGAAGCGAGAGTTAATGTTGTACAGTACCTGCTTCAGTGTGCCGCACGCCCCCCCACCCCTGAACAGTCGAAGCTGGTTTTTGCTCTCTTTCAACGTTCCTCACGCTTTTGTGTATGATATTGAACGGATTGAGTTTATATGAGTTTAAGAGGCACAGCTAGGCCCGGCAACTGATTTTATAGTCGCGCCGTACGGAATTGTCTTGCGACACAAGAATTCTGGCTTTAGCAATTTACGGGCAAGATTTCGTGGACCATCATAAACCACAAGAAGACCGAGACGAGAGCACGAGTGCGACCCAGAACGCGCACCGGTGTCTGCAAGCATGCTGCGCATCGCCCGACACAGCTAAACTTCATAGTGTCGCCATAGTTGGATGCTGTTTCAAGATGCATTAAGATGACTCAAGCATAAACCAGGAAAGGCATGGGATGCGACCGATCGCGGACCACTCTTACGACGAGTTCTGGTCGGAGTTGAGTGCCTTAGTTTCCCAGCTTCCTGAGATGCCACGCAGCTTAGATTGCAACGGCAGCAGCTCTCTTATGTTGGTGAACTGGGTTGAAGAGAGGTGAGAGGAACGAAGATCTTTCCTTCCAGACTCGCACACCCCCAGGCTCATGCACGAACACTCACGCTCTCACTGCCACTAAGTATCACTCACTCACACCCCTCATTGGCTGGCTGGCTCCTTCTGGGCATGTCTCTTGCTCTTGTGCATGTTCCTACCTTCCTCTCGCTTTCAACTCGAGACGCCCGGCACCCGACTTCATGCCTTCCCAATCCTTCTGCACATATTGCAGGTCAGAGCTTTGGCCACGGCTTGTGTCGTTGTTCAGCCCATGCGAGGCTTAGTCCTGGAGTTTGAGACGACTCATGGCCGCGAGCGGCAGGTGGAATGGATCACCAAGCCTCTTGGTGTCTCCTTCGACGACGCCATGCCCATGCTCGTGACCGAGGTTCACGAGGAGGCCCTACATCTGAACGTGCGTGTGGGTGACAAGCTGACGAGATACGGATTGGCCGGGACCTTACTTGTTCAGAGGTGTCTCCTTTAAAGATGCTTGTGACGGACTGTTTCCACAACCCTGCGGCACTGCGTGCACAGAAGCCATGGCACAAACCACACAAGCGAGCCCCATGCTTTCATCAAGGTTGAGGACAGAAATCAGCTTCAGAGCATGGAAGGAAAGAGCTCCCAGGAGGTCAAGTCGGCCATCTCCAACCACCTGGCAAAGTTCCCAACTGCGATGCGAGCCCGGGCTTTAAAAACCACCGAAAGCACTGCTCCAGTTGGTTTTTCTTGTGAAGGCAAGCATCAACCTCAAGCTCTTGTCTCCTCCCCCGTTTCCGACCCCAAATTAGGGATGATTTAGGGATGATCTAGGGGTCCCTTAGAGGTGTTTAGGCCTTAAGGGTTCCCCCAGTCATGCACTTTCAGAATTTTGGGGGCGCCAGCCCAGGCATGATTTGCGTCTTCGAGCTGCCGGACCAGTCCTTACGGGAGTTCATGTGGCACGCGCGGCCTCTGGGGATCTCCTTCAACTCTTCCTCGCCACCCGTGGTCTCGAAAGTTGAAACTCCTGCAGACATGAAAGGTGTAAAGGAGGGGTACATATTGAGGCGCTTCGGCAGCGACTTCCGAATGCTGGAAGCAACAGACAATAAGAGCTTCAACAGAATCTTGGCCGACATGGAGAAGTTTGCGAGTTTGCTGCCCGACGCCACAAGGCAAGATGTGGAAGCATGGTGACATGCTTCTAGTTCTCTGTGGTTTGTTACTAACGTGACGTATTGACATTGATCTGCATTGGAACTTGGCTTAGATATCTCCTCTCAAGCCATGGAAAACTCTGGAAGCTTGAGAAGTTTAATTTTAAAGCAGATATCTCCCAGAGCCAGCCTTCGCGTGGCTGCCCCGTTTCACAGGAGTCGGCTTGGTGTCGACTCGGGTGTCTATAGAGGTAGTTCGATGACAGCTGCAAAGCAGGACTGCTTAGCGTGGAGCCTTGCGCCTTCCGGCGCAAAAGAGTGTTTGGTTTCAGGCCCAGCTGCTCTAAACCGACCCTAAACCCTAAATATCCCTAAGCCCAAAGCCCTTGAAGCCTTTTGAGGCCCACGGCCCCGCACCCTCAGAGCGCAACCCAAAACTGGGAGTGGATGCGGAGGATATGGGGACGATGGCCTATGATGACGATGACGGGGATCTCCATCCTAATGCATGTGTGTATGTATATATACACATGCATATACAAATAAACATGTATTGTTGATATGTGCTTTCGTATGCATGTATATACGCATGTATAGATATAGATAGGCACATACAGGTTAAACGATGGCGGATGAGGTGGTGACAGCTCACAGTTGTTCTGGGATGACATGTTCATGCACATGCTCAACCTCGGCCTCGGCACGTGAGCAACTTGAAGCACACTAGGACCATTGGGAACTTGGGAACCGCAAGCAGGTGTAGACTGCAGGTCTTCATGCTGCTGTCATGTCATGTGTCATTGTAAGGGCAGCAGGGTCATGAAATGAGAGGTGCGCTTGACGTCTGGAAGTCTTGGGGTTGCGAAAATGTTAGGAATTTGGGTTTGGGGATTCAGGTCATGGCCGTTGGCACTGGTTGCTGATCAGTTGACAGATGATGGCTTCGAGAAGACCCGTGATCACATGCGGTTCCTCACATTCGTCGATGACGGCTGTCTCAAGCAAGGGTTGAGGTGATGTGCATATCCTTTTAAGCCCCTACTCCCCTATATAAATGCCTAAACCTTCAACCTTGCTGCCCGAGCACGCCCCTTTCAATCCCTAGAACCCCCATAAACCTAAGTCTAAACCCCTACACAGCCCTAAACCCGTAACCCTTAAACCCTAAACCCTCAAAGTCCTCAAGCCCCAAAATGCTAAACTAGCCCTGTGAGAGCCCACTTGTTCTGAGGTTCTACGCCTCCACGTAAGCCAGCGCGGACTGCCGCACAGGCCTTTATTGCTCCCAGGTTTTGAAGGGTTTTGAGGGTTTGGGGGCTTAAGGTTTCTGGATTTGAAACCCTAAACCCTAAACCCGAAACCCTAAACCGGCTTCAGGGATTCAAAGGGGGTTACCTGGACAGTTCCAAGCAGCCAAGTCCTGAGTTTCGGTGCGTGAGTATTTCGGTGAGATTTGGGCGGTTGCTGATCTCATATCCGAACGCAAAGCAAACAACATAGCACACCCACGAAAGACTGCAAATCAGGGCTAAAACAATCAAAAGAAAAGCAGCCAGCCGACTGTGACAGGTGCCGTCGCCATCGAAGTGGGGGGAGGCACGGGCTCCTCAGGAAGAGACAGCTCACGCATCTGGGGTTTGCACATTCTGCAACCAAGTCAAGCTGTGGTGTGTGAGTCCAAATTTAGGGTTCTTGCAAGTACCTTCTACTCGTAGCCCTCATAGACAGGCCCTCGAAGCTGCCCAGGTCGACTTTGAACAACCCCTCCCTCCCCCCACGTCATCGCACCTGGGTAGGTTCCTAAATTAGGGACCTTTTGTGGGTATCCATTAAGGCGGCACCCTTTAAAAAAGGGATCCCAAAAAGGGACCCTAGTTTAGTTCCACATGTCCCGCCCTAAACCCTAAACCGTAAACCCTAAACCCTCAACCCTAAACCCTAAACCCTGAACCCTGAACCCTGAACCCTAAACCCTAACCCCCGGGCATTTTTTCGGCCAGGTCGTGTCATCGCTGCCAGTGGTGAGGCTGTCCGAGCAGAGCTCGCTCGGAAGCGGAGCCCTCAACTCCTAGAGGATGCTCTAGAGGCCCTAAACCCTAAACCCTAAACCCTAAACCCTAAACCCTAAACCCTAAACCCTAAACCCTAAACCCTAAACCCTAAACCCTAAACCCTAAACCCTAAACCCTAGCCCTAAACCCTAAACCCTCGGCAGGTTCCTGATATTAAATTCCCCAATGGCCCTCGAAGCCCTGTTTCTGTTGGGTTCCGCGTTGGCCTTCCTCCTCGCCGCTGCTGTGCCTGTTCAGGTCCCAGCAAGCGTCTGGGCTTCTCGCCACAGGCCAGCACCTTTGGGTTTGGGGCTTTAGGGTTTAGGGTTAGGGTTTCGGGTTTAGGGTTTCGGGTTTAGGGTTTAGGGTTTAGGGTTTAGGGTTTAGGGTTTAGGGTTTAGGATTTAGGGTTTAGGGTTTAGGGTTTAGGGCTGAGCACTCTTTCCCTGGCTCGGAGTGTTGTTTCATGCCCTCCCCCCTTTCTTTAAAGCCACAAACGGCACCTAGTTTTCACGCCTTTATTTGTTCCAGGTTCAGATTGCTTTGTCTGTGCGTGGGACCCAAGATACCCCATACTACCCCCACCCCCCCTATGTAAGAAGCCCCAGCATCGTGAACCCTGGGCCTAATTGCCGTATACGGAACCCTTAAACCACTCTCATCTTTCATTAGAGTATCACCTGCCTAACCGGCCTAACCTTGCAAACCTTAGCCGTAGCCCGTACACCCTCAACAAGCGTAAGCCCGAGTACAGAAACCTTAGCCCTTGTAAACCCTCAACCCTACACCCTTGGCAGCCCAGTGGTACCCTTTGACCTGTTTTTTTTTCGCTTCTGGGTTCCCTTATAAAGTAACCAACCCGGACAGGGCGCCTCTACCATGGTTATGCATACTGGGCTACCAAGAACCCTGCAGCCTATTTGGAGGTTCATGGTACTTATTAAGCAATTGTAGCTGTACTTATAACCCACTTATAAGCCCCTTAAGTGCCCTAATATAGTTACAAGTACAGTTACTCTAAACCCTAAACCCTAAGCCCTAAACCCTAAACCCTATAAGTACAGTTTTCAGTAAGTACACCCTTCAACTCTCAGAGTCCGGCCCAAGGTCGGCGGCGGCGAGGCGTCCCTTTCTTTGTGGAGCCAATGCCCCACCAGAATCCTCCGCTTTAGGGTTTAGGTTTAGGGTTTAGGGTTAGGGTTTAGGGTTTAGGGTTTAGGGTTTAGGGTTTAGGGTTTAGGGCTTAGGGCTTAGGGCTTACGGTTTAGGGTTTAGGGTTTAGGGTTTAGGGTTTAGGGTTTAGGGTTTAGGGTTTAGGGTTTAGGGTTTAGGGTTTAGGGTTTAGGGTTTAGGGGGGCCTAGGGTTTAGGGTTTGGGGTGTACCGGGTTTTTGGATGTACAGGGTTTGGGTTGTACAGGGTTTGGGTGTACAGGGTTTTGGCCGGTGCTGAGAGATGTGTATACTTTTTTTGGCAGTCGTTCGCAGTCCAGTTGCAAAGGGCTTTAGGGTCTAGGGTATACAAAGAGGTTTTAGGGCTTAGGGGGCGTTCTGGGCTGAGATGTTCAGAGCTTGAGGGCTTATAAGTGCCTTGGGGTTGAGGAGGCACGGAGGGTGTGGGGCTTAGGGGCTTCGATTCCCGAAGCCTTGAAAGCACAAGGACTGAAATCACAACCCCAGAACCACCAAACCCTCAAACCTTCGAAACCTAAACCCCCGAACCCTAAACCCCAAGACTCAAAGGTCCGGAACCACTGTCTCAGCCTAAGGTGCTTCCAGCATCTTCTTAGATTTATGGCATGTAGGGGTTCGAGGGATTTTATGGATTTGGGTTTAGGGGCCTGGTATTTGCAGGGTGCTTTTGGGCATCTCGGCTTGAGGTTTTCGGCTTGAACTTCGGTTTAGGGTTCAGGGCTTAGGGGCAGCCGGTATAGGTCCTTTGGGTTTGAGGAGGTCTTTGTTGTTTGAGGTTAACAAGGTTTTAAGTTCTGCAGGTTTGGGGTTGCAGTTTCGCAATCGGTGTCGGGCCGCGGGTTTCTTTCTGTGGAGGTGGAAGGCTGAGATTCGCATTCTTGCGCAAGTATTGCACTTCAAGCGCACCTGCAGTGCTACTCAGGGCGTGCCTTTGAGTGCAGACCTTGGCATCGTTTGGGCAGGCTCCCGTGCCATCAGCGATGGCCTCTGAGTTCTGGCGAACACACGAGCGGTGCTCCCATGCGTTTCTTACATTTTTTGGGTTGAGGGTGCAGCGACGTAGTAGTACTTAGTAGTGTACGTGAGTATATAGATGCAAGTGGGAGTTTGCGAAAATATGGGACCCCTAGAACAGACCCCCAAATAGCAGGATTCCTGTGCAAAAAGGCCCCCAATAAGGGACCCCTAATTTTAGAAAACCCTAAACCCTACACCCTACACCCTAAACCCTAAACCCTAAACCCTAAACCCTAAACCCCAAACCCTAAACCCTAAACCCTAAACGAAATTCCGGAAAACCCCATAAGGTTTCTGAGTGGGCAGGTATGCTTTGCAGCGTTCGCGCGAAGCCGCGCTGAAAGCCGAGGGCAGGAGGAACCTGGAGAGGCCTTCCGAGCCGAGCAGGCCGTCCATGCTTAGAAGCAAGGTTTAGGGTTTAGGGTGAAGGGTTTAGGGTTTAGGGTGAAGGGTTTAGGGTTTAGGGTTGTTCCGTGTTAGGCGACCTTCCTTACAGAACAACTTGCAAGACTGGACCCCAAAAAGCTGGCTGAGAAGCCCCCAGCCGAATTCAACAGCAGAAATAGAATTATCAACTAGAGGGGTTCGGAAATAAGTACTACCAATATTCCCTTCTGGTCCCCATATATAATCGTACTGTAATAACCCCCAAAACTCTGTTCTAATCTTATCAACATGGGGATCCAAGGCTGCAGAAGAAAACGGCCATTGACTTTAAAGCAGCTTGGGCATAGCGCCCCTGGGAGGTCCGACCCTCCCGAGACAGCCACTCAGACGGAA